TTTCTTTGCTTTTTCACATATTTTTATCATCGGCCTAAGGCAGTCATCCCAAAAAGTACAGGAGCAAGGGAGAAACACTTAGTAAGAATTCTATCTATGTGTGTGCAAAGTAGTAAAAGATCATCTCACTTAACCTTAGCAGCAGAAAGAGGGAGGAGTGTGCAAAAAATAAATTACTCAGCAGGAGCAGTATTTTAGACATGTCTCTATATTTACTAACAAACAATGTTTGTGAGCTTGTTTGACCGACCTCCAACAAGGGTACATTAAGGAGTTATGCATTTTTCATTAAACATTGGATTTTCCTTTAATAGAAGAGATTGCTGCAGATCCTTTAAAGTGATTTGATGGCTTTAGGCTAAGAAGAAATTTCTTTTCTCCCTGACATGAGGAGGCGAGACAAATTAGCCATTCACGCTCAAATTGCAGTAATGATTATTCTTGCCATAAGGCACTCTGGAAGACCAAATGCCCAGAGTTAAAAGAACATCAAAACTAACCATTTGGATAAATTTCCCAATGTAGGGTCTGCCATTCAGACATTACTGAGAAGGTACTTAATATTGGTCCTTCCAGCCAGAAGCATCTGCCTCAAGGGTAGAGCACTTGCCCAGTGCACTGGATTGGATCCCTAGCACTGCAAAAATTTTTGAAAAATTTCTTTTAAAAATGGTCCTTCCATGTCCTATTACTTACTCCCAGGTCAAGGATCGACTGTAGTGCTGGTGTATAACTTAGAAGTACATTGCCCTGCACAGCAAAATCCCAAGAGGATACCATGAGGCTCAGAATTACCAGCCTTGTAGATGGTCAATGCCTGTCCACGATGCTGTCACCTTTGTACTTTGTGCAGATGTTTGCTAGGCTTTTGCATATATGAATATCTAAATAGGTGACATTCTATTCCCAACTCTACCACTACATATACTCAGAGCCATCAGCTAATGTTGGAAAGGAACTATTTGATTCTTTCTCCACATTGGAATCTACTCATAGAATTAGCAAGAGACTATCAGTATCATGGGAGGACACAGAAAATACATAGGACTGAGCTGCTCCTAGTTTTGCATCCCCCTCCATTAGCCTGTGATTTAAATTTGCTGTTTGAACATCTGTACAGTGGAAATGGTAATCACTCCCCACCTTCAAGTCTTTCCAAGTAGAGTTTGCAGCCAACAACCGTACTATGTAGGTGGAATTACAGTTTTAATAGTGGCCCCTGTCATTTCACTAGCTATGTGACCTTCATAGGAGGGTAAAGTACTTGCCAGATTGCCTGGTGCATAATAAATGTTAAGTGACCAGCTTCTGTCATTTCTCTTTTGAAAACTGCAAAGCACTCCACCAATATTCACTTCTATTATCCAAAGATATATATAAAATGAGACATCCAATAATAGAACATTCATCAAATACAGTCTCAGAGCCCCTGTATCACATCCTCCCTTATCACCAAAGCCAGCCAGCTCTCCCCAGATAGAATACTCACAACTCTCATACGCCTACAGAGGCAGAAGGCTTGCCATAACTCTTTTCCATCTTTGAAGCCTCAGCCAGCTGCATCAGTTAATAACCTCACTAAAGGTTATCCATTAGCAGGAAGGAAAGGACCTCCTAATTACTGCAGTGAGATGTCATTAGTTATGTCCATGGCTCCTATAAAGGCTACCTGGCATTTATGGAAATGGCACACACCAGGGGAAAATGTTACCAAGCCAGACGAGAACTTAACCTAAGTATTAAATAGCTTCCAACCACTGATGAATGCATTTCACAGGTAATCTATCTTTACAGAAACCTTTTATTCCTGATTCTGTTCAGTCCTGACACTTTATTTGCTCAAGCTATAAAATTTTTATTTGGATTCCACAAACATTTCAATAAATCAAAGTTGCTTTTACCTCCCCTTCCTGTTAAAGAGAAAGACCAGGTAGAATAGTTCCTTGACTAGGGGATTTAACCTCATTCTTATTTAACTTGTCAGAAGCAAATATCATTTTTTCAACCCTTTGATTGAAAGTCTAGGATCTTCTCTCTAAGTAAGAATATTATTGTTGGAATCTTCAACTTCATTATTATCTAGGGTTTGTTTAATCTTGGGGAAACCTCTAAGCATATGATTTCCTTTGCAGGAATTGAATACAACTTTTACGCACTCTTGAGTATGACCTGGTTCAACTCCGCATCTTTATGAACACTAGCAGATAGTAACATGTAAATAAATGCATGATACAAATTTTTAAAAGATAATATCTAGGATTTGTTATTTTGCAGTGGCTGCACACATAAATGAAAACTGCATAATATGGCTTCATCCCTTCTGAATACTATGCCCAGATCAACATTTGAAGAGCCTACCATGCCTCATTTTAAAAGATTTTCTGTAACTACAAAATATTTCTATAAAATGACTAGAGGATTTTTATAGGAAGCATCTGGTTTTAATAATTTATTGCCAGAATGAGTTATATAGGAAAACCAAGACTAACTTAGCACAATTTTCCTATGTAGATGGGAATGCATTCTTTTCTTCTAAGGACTCATCCAATTCTCTTTTAAATATAATTTTTCTCTCAAATACAATTTGTGGGAGAACAGGTGGTAAAAGTATTTTAATATAGTAGTGATATTGGCAAAACAGGGACTTCTGAGCTGTTCCTTAGGTCATAACCAGTATTACACAATTGTAAGATAAACAGGACTCAGATTCTAGAGATTTCTGTACTATAATGTTAGTATGGAAATTCTTTATGTATAGTGCAAGGAGATAAAATTTACATATTATTCTAAATCAGAAAGCCTGTAATTTAGATCCATATTTATACTCAATGCATATTTTAATCTCAGGAAAGGAAATGATAATGAATCCTTCACCTCTAACCCATCACAGACAAATTAGATTTTTCAAAGTTTTATTTCATACTGATATCACCCCCAAAACAGTTGTCTCATCTTTAATTTTCTAGCAACTTGGCTAAAAATGTTTGCTCAAAATAAAAGATATTACAAAGAAAATAGCTTAAAGCTAGGTTTGGTGTGAACTGAAATATTTTTCCCAATTCCAACATTTAAACAGTTAAAATTAGCAAGTAGAAAAGATCCTTATCTTAAGGGCCTTTTAGTTAGATACGGCCAATCTAATTGCAAAGAATGACCGTTCAGATTATTCTTTTGCTTTTTCTTTTTTTTTCTGACAGTTTCTGATTTTCCTCCAAGACATTAACTAAGAGTACCATGGTCTATTATCCAGTCATTAGGAAGACGATAAAGATAGGCTTTCTATAATCGTGGCTGGGTTGACAGGTGTCTACTCCCCTCCACAGCAAGGCAAACAGGAAAGCGCTTCTGGGCTGCCACTAGGAAGCAAGCACATGACCTCAAACAGGTGTTACTGTTGACAGAACCGTTAGCCATCCTGCTTCTCCACAGCTTCCAGGAGAAATTGCACTTCCTCATTTTTATTTTTAATAAGACCTCCTGTGTTCCACAAAAAATTATTCCCAGGAAAATTTCTAGAAGACTATGCAGCTTGTGATGAGTGCTTCTTAGTATAACACCAAAGCTCACCCTCCAGTATGTGGAGATCTAAAAATGCAGCAGAGGAGAAGACAAATCTGGAGGGGGTTTGTCCATGGCTCCCAAGTGTGGAATCAAAAGGTAAGGCAAACCTGGACATCTAGAATCCAGAAGGGTAAGAGATAGATGAGCTCTCAGAAACCAGCAAGCTCAGGGTTCTCATTCCCTAGTGTGTCTCAGACTCACTTAGGACACCAGAGAAGACTGTATATTCCTAGACCCACCATGGGGGTGCTGATTCAGAACCAGCAGGCAGCAGAGGTGGCAACAGGAACACAGAACACTTCCTAACCCACTTGCTTTGTGCCCGGTACTATGCTAAGTTCTTTACAAATGTCAGCTTCCTTCATCCTCAGAACCACCTTATTAAGTAGGTACTACTATTTCTCCCATTTTATAGATGAGTAACTCAAGACACAGAGTGGTGATTTAGGAAGCTGCTGAAGGACGTCCTGCTAAGAGTGGAAGGAGGATTCAACCAGGCAGGTTGACTTTAAAATCTGAGCTGTAGATCACTACCCTAAACCATCCCCCAATAAAACTAGGGTTAAGGAAATATCATGGTTGAAGCAGACCCTTTCTCTTGGGCATGAAAAAATTGCAACCCAAAGAAATGCAGTCTTTTATCCAAGACAAAACACTTTGATACATGTCCAGAAAGAAATCAACCATTACATGGCACCAACTGTCCTTAAATATCCAGTATTCTTCTATATGTTTCTCCAGGGAGGAAAAGGACAAATTGCACTATTAAAAGCCATCTCCTTGGTTCCTGCTGTTTTGTGGACCAAGGTGTTGTTCTCAGTCAGAGATTCCATCCTTCTCTTCCCCACTCGTCCCTCACTCACAGAATATGACACACTCCAGGCAGCTGAAGGGATTCCCAGTCATGGTGATTTTCAAGGAAAAGAAGGGGAGATGGGAGGGAGAGATGCCACCCCTAAAAACAGGTGGTGACTGGAATGAAGGAAATAAGGTTCTTATCATTTGAGAAAGAAGATGTGATTCTGATATCCCTTTGAAGGATATCTCTCCCCCTAAACCGACCATGCTAAAATTGCAGTATGTATCAACACATGACTAGCTCTTTGCTTTATAGCTACCTATACAGGCAGGCAGAACACCCAGAAAGATCAGATTCACTATGAGCTGGAACTAATCCCATATATTCTCTTAAAAGGTGCTAAGTGTGCTTCCTAATCACATTTCATATACAGGGTAGGGCCAACTCCATTATAGATTTATTGAAACTATTCTGCTGCTAAACTGTCATGGTAATTTTAGAGCACCTTAAGCAAGCATAATAACCATCTATTCCTAGTAACAGATGATCACAACGCAGAGGTAGTTTCAAGATAACCAGCGCTGGGGTCCAATTGTTTTCCTGTCCCAATGACGCACACCGGTGGCCACGTCAAACCAACCTTCATCACTTCCACCTGCAGGTCTTCATTGAGCGAAGGCGTCACTTTCACAGCATTCAGGACCTGATTGAGCAGCTGCTTCTCATCAGAGTCTGTTTCCATGGATACAAACCTCTCTTCAGAGAGCAGCTTCTGTAAAGAGGCACAAGGCAGTGATCACAGATAGGCTCTCCCCTGCTGCCTCACTCTGTTCTAGCTTATTATGTATTGATGATCCCTTTTCTCACCTGGGATGCACGTGGCTGGAAGCTATTAGGAAAGAACTCCTGCTACATGCCATTAAAAACAAAAATGCATCCAACCTTAGACAAATGGTTTTTGGCAAAGACTTTTTTTATGATACTAGATAATTCATTCTGAATTCCAGCAAGTGAAATTCTGATGTGCAGGCCTCCTTGGTGACTCGAGTGGTGGAGACAGACTATGGATGTACCGAGAGCCCTACATAGTAATCATCTACATGCATTTGAGGATTGCCACACATCCCCCTCCAGGACAGCCCTCTACTATTTCAGGGCAACTTTTATTTTTCATACAATTTTCCCCTAGGTTCTACCAAAAACATTATTGTACAACTCTACTCCCTCATTTTTCTCTAGAGCCACAGGGATGTGATGCCAGCCATCCAGTCCACCCAAATCTTTTCTGCCCATGCTGAGCCTCCCCAAAGGTTGTCACTGGGCCCTCCCACTCAGAATGAGGCCACCAAGTGAATGAGGCATTTCCAGGGTGGCCTGATTTTAAAAAGTGATGCATAACTTGAGTCACCATCCCAGGTCACTGCACATTCTATTCTCACCCTGGAATCCCTAATTCTCACTCACAAGGTTGCAATTAAGCTGTTCTCCCGCATTCTGAGCTGGCACAGTAGTGTTTTTGAGACCTCAGTTTAGGGCTTTATATTATCCCTGTCTAATTTGTTCTTTCAATGCATAGCTTAGAGTTGTAACTTGGGAGGAAATTTTGGCATTGTTTCATTCATCGCAATGAAGCACCTTTTCACTTTCATGTCTCTGTGGAGCTGGCATCTAACCTTCATAAGTATGTCTCAGTGACATGGCCTAATTCTTTCAGAAGGGATTTGTTTTTGAGAATCAAGTAGTATACCCAAGACAGCCCAGAGTTAAAGTTTAATCACAAAGCTGTTTTTCTTCAAATGATAAAGAATGGGAAGCCCTGAAAATGTTCTAAAGTTAGACAGTACTTAGAAGAAGATAGATAGTACAGGAAGATTCAAAACCCACCAAGTCAATGAAGTTCACACACTTACATAGGCCTTTAAAACATGGTACTGCAACTCAAAATGTTCCAGAATTTTAAAAGCGGCGGGAAACAAAGTGGGAAATCTACACAACAAACTCTGATTCATTCTAATGGGTTGCCCAGCTACCATAGAGGAAAGCAAAAGCTTTTTCATACCATTATTAACAAGGTTTAAAAATGCCAAATGTCATTGCATGTTAACATACATTATATAATTAAATCCACCGAGGGTAAAAAAAGCTGTTTCCTCTTTCTTTCCTACATACTAACTTCTGAAAGTCATTAGGGACTTCATAGAACTTAAAAAACTATTTATAAAGTTGTCCTTACTGACAGAAGAGACATTGATGAATGCCATCCATACATAGTCACAGAACCCTGCAGGCTTGCACTTCACCATACTTATCTCTAGAAACCAAATCGCTCTAAAAGCTCAATGTATTTATACAGTCATCACCTTTTCATTGTTGGAATTGGACCCATAATGTTTGGAGTAAAACACAAATGCTCAGCCAGGCGTGACAGCACACACCTGTAATCCCAACACTCGGGAAGCTGAGGCAGGAGGATGACCAAGAGTTCAAGGCCAGCTTGGGCTACATAAGTCAGTTCAAGGTCAGCATGAACTACACAGCTTGTCTTAGAAAACAAAAAGAAACCCGCCACCAATGCTTGGAGAAAGAAATGCGTTCATGCAACCTGACTCTTCTTACTAAAGCAAATTTCTTCTTTCTTCTCAGGATTCCTCTAAACAAACTATATTAAGCCACTTACCAATCTAGCTGAGTACTAAACAAAGCAAAATATTTTCAGTTTGCTACTAAATCTCATTACACAGAATCTCGTATGTTGAATACACACAAGATCTGAATCGGGATGAATCTGGGGGTCACTCTTTCTTGGGATCCCTCCTTCTCCTGAAACTTGGACTCCACAAAACAAGATTTTTGTGAGCTTAGCTGGTTCTCCACGAATCAATGTTTGACGGCAAAGACTCGACCAAATAATGCTGTGCACAGAGAAATTCTAGCGAATAAAAGAAAATCCTGTGATCCTCTTGGTTATTTCCTAGTTCCACCACATCTTTGCCCAGATTTTTACACAGCCAGTATTTAAAAAGTTAACGATTTGCTCGCTCAGTGCCAAAGCAGCCTGTCAATTTCTATCACTCCAGTACGTTCAGTCAAAGCTATACCTGCATCCCTGCCAAGGCATGTTGAGCCAGCTTCACGTTCTTGGATTCCAAAGCCAACTGGAGAGGCAGCAGGCATTTCTCTCTGGAAGACACAGAAATAGGGACAACATGTGAGCGCAACAAAGCTGGCAGTCAAGTGATACCAGCCTTATGTATACCTACTTCAAATACTGCCATTCATCCACACAGAAACTATAACCAATAATGAAAATCCACGTGGGCTTAAAAACACAGCAAAAAAAAAAAAAAAAAAAAAAGGCGGTGCAGAAATGATAGCATATGTGAGCCTGCCTTCTTAGTATGGCTACAAGAAAAGTAAATACAGTTACTTTCACTGATTAGTAAATGGTATACTAATTCATACACAGCTGCACCCCGAACATGCTTCTTGCTCTTCCTTAGGTTAATGCACTGCTTGCACCCAGAACAGCTGGGGTGCGCAACTCTAGCGGGTGCCGTTTCTATAGATTCCTGTGCCTTGTTCAGAACTCTCTCCCCAGCTAGGAAGTAACCATATCATCCCCAGCACTGTGCCCCGTGGGTACAAATTAAAATTCTCTTACTTTGGCAATTCCTCCGTAACTCAAAGTACTCAACGTTTATAATTTTTAAAGTTCCTCTGCAGTCTCTATCCAGAAATAGATCTGAATTTTGTATAAGATTCATAATAAACACATTGCCATGACAGAAACGCAATCAATTACTAACAGAGTTGGCCAGAGAGAAACAAACAAAAAATCCCATAAAACATGGAGGGCTAATTAGATAATTTAAAGCCCTAAAAAAAGGCATTAAAATATGTCAGGAATAAACCAAAAGAGCTGCAAAGACCAAAAAATATCGTTCTGTTAGAAGCATCCATATGAAATAATTAAAAAAATAAAATTTAACCAAGAATTTTAATCAACCCATCATTTCTCCATGGAATTACACTGGCACAACAAATAAAATATTACTTCATTTTACCAGCCCCCAACAAATCAGAGCAGTCGCATTTTTAATCTGTGTGAGAAACTGAAAGATGCACTGACTTTGGAGAGTGTAAAGTCACAAGGTTAGAGGCAGGATTTCATCTTTGTGGAAATAAGGGTCACTGTTGTAGAACACAGTGACACAGAAAGTTAATTATAGCTCTGATTCCTCCCTTCCACCCTGCAGCTCTGCTGCTAGTCTGTGGAATCTTCCATCAACAGCACCCGAGAGCACTGAAGGGACAGTCACAGACACTCCCTAATGCTGGCCACAAAGAGAAGCGACAACAGACCATCGGGAAGAATTCCGCTTCCTAATCCTTCTCGCCTTCCCCTTCCCCAACCCAAAGTTATGGTACCCGTTTTCATATGGCAACTGATTAACACCACAGCCATTTTTCATTAGATCTGACAGACAGACAAATGACCCAACTGTGTCACTTACAGTTGGGTGGCTGTAACTGTCACTGTTAGCATTATTATCAGCTTGTCACACTTACAAGGCAAATACCACTGTGCTGTCAGAGCAGGAAGAGCTAGTTTTTCCAACTTTGTTTCTTTTGTTCCATCCTAACCAGCTCACAAGCTTGTGAAAATTAACTGGAAAGGGGAAAAAAGAGCAAAAAGTAGGAATAAGGCACAGAGGAGGTACCGGCAGAAGCCGCCCAGAACTTCATCTATAAACCTGTGAAACATGGATCCATCCGGGCTAATTCACTGCAAGAGAACTTTCATCTCCAACTAGGACTCAGAGCTGCCAGTGAGACCACAGCACCAGGCAGCAAGCCTGGAAGTGCCCGATTCTGAGACTAAAACAAGGGAAATCTGTCAGGTAGCTCTGAGCTGGAAACACACAACTGTTGCATGTTCCTCACCAAGGGATCCAGCACGAGGGGATGAAATGTTCACGATCGACAAGGACCTTTCTGAAAAATATTCCACCTGCTACCCTTGGAAGCAGCATCATGTCTGCATGTAAATTACTGGGTATTCATATTCCCCTGCCAGTAAGGAGCAACCCTTGAAATCCCAGCTAATCATCATGTGACTGACACTGCTGGCCTGAGCCAGGCTGCACTAGGTCTCCAGATGCTTCTTCAAACTGCTCCCCTCCCCAGGCCCAGACACTGAGTGACACAGTTGGTTCAGCTAGGTTTGGGCTGAGTCAGAAGGTATCAGTGTTGAGTGGAAAGACCACGGGTGCGGAGTCATGCAGGCCTAGAATCAAACCCTAACCATCTCCAAGCTGTGAGAGCCCAACAAAGGTACTTAGCTCTGGGGAGTCTTAGGCCCTCCTCTATAAAAAAAGCTAATTCAAGAGCAATTCTGAAGGCCTGTAGTAAGGAGTACATAGACTATAGGAGGGATTTGCAAACCCTCTGTGTAAAAGTCTAGGTAGTGAATACATCAGGCTACACAGTTCATATGGTCTCTGTCCTTACTCAACTCTGCTGAGACACAAAGTAGTCATAGGCAGAAAGTCAGTCAATAGACACGGTTATGTTCCAATAGAGCTTTATTTATAAAAACAGGCAAAAGGCCAAATTTGGCCTATGGGCAGTAGTTTGCCCAGTCCTGATACAGATAAAATGCCCAACACATGTGACTTTTCAGCATGGAATACATGAATCTAGTCTTTTCATGTAGTCAGAAAGATTTTGCACAGGACACAGGGCTGTCTTAGCAAAACCAATTGTAACACCAAGGTCTCTCTTAAAAGTAAGTCCTTTGGGGATGTATGGTTGCAGACAGATTTCATCAGGGCATTGACCCAGGGCACACCCTCCACCCTACCAACCATTCAAGCAGCATCTGAGTGTCCCCTGGGTGCCAGGCACCATGTTGGTGCTGGGAAAGATCCAGCAAGGAACACAATAGAACAGGCAGAGGCTCTCCTTCGTATTCATGGGATAAGACAGATAAAAGAGAAAGCTGGCACGTACAATCTGTGTGTAGTCTCACCTGTCACTAACCGTAAACACGCGTTCCTGCTCTTGTCTTGCGTTTGAGAAATGGTGGGTTCAGAGCAGTTCTGCAGCCTGCCCAAGACCACACAGTGAAGACAGACTGGAGACAAAAGTCTCAAAAGTTCAGAGCAAAGCTAGGATAGATAGATGTGATTCTTAACCTTTTCTAGACACAAAAAATCTGGCAAAAAACTATGGCTGAAGGAGAGCACCCATCATTTTCAGGGGGCTGCTAGCCCTTTAAACACTGTTTGCACGTGCATCCCAAAGTGAGAGTCCCTGCCCTGGGCGACAAGGACCTGGCTTGACTGGCCATGGTTTTGCTACGGTGGAACTGAAATGATACTATACTGACCCCGTGTTCTTGTGTGTGCGTGTGTGTGTGTGTGTGTGTGTGTGTGTGTGCATGCCCGTACAAGTGTGCACACAGGGGAGGGGGACAGCTACCTCTCCTCAGTGTCTCTCACTCCCCCTTATCCCCCCAGAGCTGTGTCACCAGCCGCAGATGCTTACTTGGGCAGAAAAGGAACACATGCTGAAATGAACACAACACGGTGGGCAGAACTGGTTTCCTTGCCTGCCTTGTGACATCATAAAAACCCTTCTGCCTTCAGTTTTTAAAGTTGATTTGCATGAAAGAACAACAGGCCTGCTAACTGGTCCCGGGATGGCATTTCTAATGACAGCATAACACGGCACACACTCAGAGCCCCCTACACACACGCTGTATAAGAATAAATCATCCTTCGATCTTTCTAGACACTGCCTCATTGGGAAAAGGGCACAGGAAAAAGCAACATGCAATTATGCCTAGGGATTATTTTTTATGCACAGACACGGGCACATCCATTCTTGCCTAATTAAATAAGGACAGTGTCCCCAGCTTTCACGTCCTGATGTGTCACTATTTCTTAAAGGAGAGTAATTAGCAGTACTGCATATGGATGAGAAAGATGTGATCCCGTGACACCGGGTCTGGTCATGTCACAGAGACCGAACTCATTTCCTTCAATGCATCATCAGTGTTCACAGACCAGCTGTATTGGGCTGGAAGATAACAAAGAACAAGGGGAAATTAAAATTGGTGAATAAGGGAAGAGTTCAGATTTACTGATAGTTACCTTACTAACCTGAGCACAAACACAAACTTCCAGTAAAATCAAAGCTATTTCTGAATGTTAGGCTGATTCTTTCTTTATGCACCAGACAAGAAGGAGCAGGAAGGTATTATACATTTGTTAAAATCTGCTTAGACTCTACAGTTCTAGGACTCTAGGATTAAACTGCTGCCTGGTAACACAACATCCATGGCTGGCTGAAATCAGCAGAATATGTGCAATGTGCCGTGTTATACACATTTGTATTTACTATTTGGTAAAACTTTTGAGGGGGAGATTTGCTATGGTTTCGAAATGGTTTGTTCTCACGGAAGCGCATGTGGAAGTTCGGTCCCCAGGTCTAGCTGGGAGTGCCTGGGTCAAATGGATCCATGACATCTCTGAGGATTGAGTTCTTGCTCTCTCGGGTCTGGGTGGTTACTGTAAGAGTGGATGTGATAAAGTGAGTTCCCATCCTGTTCTCTCTCTTGTAATTACCCACTCTTCGTGTGCATGTCTGTCCTTACCAGAAGCCAAGAAGACTTAACTAGCCTCGAGTTGTGAGCCTCTTTTCTTTATAAATTACCCACTCTTGAGGGTTCTTTTTATATCAGCAGGAAATGGACTAAGATAAGATTTACTTGTCAACAAAACTGAAACTAAGAAAAATTAGTTTACTCGCCCAAGGTCACACATTTCTAAGTAACAGAGCTGTGATTTAGATAGACACCATCTGTTTCTAAAACACAGGTCCCCAAGCCTACACCACACGCTTTCGCCAGTGGAGAGCTCCATCACTGAGGATGATGGCCAGGCCACTTAACCCCCCACGAGAAGCGGGGACAGGCATAAAACAGGTAAGACACGTTATCTTACGGTGAGCGGTAGGTCATGACCCACTGAGTTATATGCAGGGGGTGCATCGTGAGAAGGTAATAGAAGTTTGGATGAGTGGAAAACATTTGGCTTTGGACCCAGATGCTGAGTTCCAGCCTCAACTTCCACTTTTCCCCGAAGTAGTGACCATTCCTAATTTGAGGAGAGGTT